TTTTATTCTTTTCGTTTTTATTGTTAATGGTGGGTCTCAAGTATGTGATTTATGAGTGAGATATGATTTCATGATTTTTTTCGTGGATGATTCCTATCGTAATGCAGCGATTGCGACACGTACCAGGGGGACTTACAAGGGAATTTGGGGTGCTCAATGGCACACTAATGGCGAAAGAGCATGAAATTTCATCAAGAAAATACAGGTCGGGACATCCATGCATAGCCGTTTATTTCGCAAAGGACGAGCAGCCGCTAAGACGACGGAGGTATGGACGAGTTTGTCGCAACGCGTTTGGTGGCACCTGCCAATCCATGCTCCAGTCGAGTTGCTCCAGTTGTGCCGCTGCTGGCAACACAGCTCGTCCAAATCACCAACTAATTAGTGGGCGGAGCGCTTTCGGGGTCCTGCTCAGCAACCAGCGCACACGTGAAAGCGCCACACCTAGCTTTCTTGGCAGCCAAGCTACTGCTTCGTGTGGCGTATATACTTCTCCGATGCGCTCCCTTTCTGTCTTATTCACTTCCTTCGGCATTAGTTTTAGAGACATTTTATCCATCCGATGCATAGGCAAACAATGAACGAATCTTCCGTATCATAACTCCTTCTGCTATAACTTGGGGGTTGTTTTCTCTTCAGTGAAATTGAATTCTGCCTACAGTTAACGTTGCAAAAAGTTCAAGAAGTAATCGGAGCTCCAGCGCTTTTTCTATTCGAAGAGTGAGATGGTTTCCTTCGGGTGCACCCCTCGTTATGTTCATCTTTGATTTTTTCAAATTAAACAGTGTTATTGAATAAAAGGGCCAATTTTAATGACAGCATATTAGTGAGAAATTACTAGCCATATGGTGAATTGACGTGAGAGAAAGTCCCAGTTGTAATTGTGCAAATCGTTAGACTGCCAAAACCAGCGTGACTTCAAGGGCAGACATGGAGCAGGCTCTCTGGTACTCCGGAGAGTGTGCTCATGACCGCCTATCAACGACCGTCCACCAATGACGTTCAAAGCCGCACCACTCGTGATCGCTGCCTCAATACGAGCCGCTAATATCCCAAGAAATCTGATGGGAATAATACTTACTACCTTACTGTTGTCACAACCGCTCTGGTGCTGTACTGTAATGATCTGACAGCGCTACTACATCGCCGTAGCAAATGACGTCACTGCAACTTCTTTTCATTTCATTAGCGCATACTCAAAATGCGCAGCGCATGTATAAAATTGAGAAGCGGTATGTATGTTTTTTATATTTACTTATTCGTTCAGAACATCGGCAAATCTCAAATCTTACTCAGACTATATGGAAGATTACATCCTTGACGATCACATTGCAGAACAGGACGCTAACGACCCTATGAGGCGAAAGGTGGTTGTACAAACAAGTCATTATTTGATGATCTAATTCTATCAACAAGTGACAGAAATGCTGTATTGAGAAAGATTTGTAAAGAAGCGATAGCATATGAGCTCCGTGTTGTAGCATTGCTCACTAAATTGGAAGTGTATTGGTGTAAGAAGTACCATAATCAAATCAGAGTGAGACAGCAGCTTACTGTCCTGGGATTGACAGCAAGCCGAGGCAACTATTACATAGTTAAGAAACGGCGCCACTACATTTTCCCTGATCGGTAGCTTCCCGGGAAATAAACCCTTGATTCAGCAACGTAGACGGAAATTTGGCAGATTCTTCTGTAGCTGAGGAAGGTCGGCGGTGGCCTCCGTCGTCCACAGCCCTCTCGCGTCACCGTGATAGCGAGCGTGATAGTATGGCCATTCATTTGATTATGTGAAGGTAGAAATGTGCAAATAGAGTACATCAACGAGATGGTACAGAACAAGTAAAAATGTGCGTCACCGTCATTCCTTCGTCCAGTCTCGCAACATCAAAATACCGAAGGACGTGCTGTATTGTATTCAACCTCCACTTCATACTATCAATAATTTCACACGGTGAAAGTTATTTCTATAGTCTCCAAGTCCGCCTTTCTTGAAACCTGGGCATTGTTCTTGAAGTTTATTGTTGCTTCTGTGCCAAACAGGTTTAGGATGGTGGAATCTTTATGAGCCTAACGTTTCGACAAATTCGTCGTTATCAAAGGCCTGAAAGCGTTTTGAAACTTCAAGTGCTGCCTATCCGCACAACATAATTACGCATTCGGCCAAGTTAACCATGCTGATTACCCAGAGATTGGAAACCATAACAATGGGTTACTCACCACAATTCACCAGTGCCTATGACCGCTCAGCTTCCATTTCAGTGACTCGAAAAATCTGATAAATGAGACAACCGGTCGTGCGCTGCATATAAGGAGTGTACGGTTATTAAAGTTTATATCCATGGTTTTCAGTGTGATCGACATCCCTTCCTATAACCATTTAATGGCATTGTTCATACTGCACAGGTGTCAGGTCCCTACCATATCTAACGAACTCGAATTGCACAGTTTCGTACGAATTCGCTTGGATCTTCTGAATGGATAAGGGCACTGTCACAAGATACGGAAGTATTATGGTGGCAGTGAACTTACAACCGCGTACATCTCTCTCCTGTCAATTGGGGCTAAGCTTTGGGCAGGGGACGACAAACTTCTTGTGCAAGCTAATTTCATTTTCACCGGAATTCCTGCTCCTCCTATCCCAGTTCTAGTGGATGTTCTCGTATCTTGCATTAGCCCCTCTTTTCTAAAAACGTCTCGTGAGACTGCTAAAATGGCTATCCTACTGTATATAATTCGCTAAGTATGTGTATGTGTTTGTAACGATGGAACGCTGTAATTTCAGTATTATGTAGGGGCCAGGACGGGAACATATTTGGTGGGGGTCAGAAAGTGATAACGACTGATAAGAGCTGATAAGAGGCGCTAGAAACGCAAATTTCACGAAATTCATAGCGCGCGTCCCAGCAGCAGTTAGGCGCCGGCTCCAACAAGTTATGTGGACGGGAACATATTTGGTGGGGACCGAATATGATAACAGCTGATAAGGGGCGCCGAAAGGCACGAGTCATCAAATGAATATCGCGTGTCACAGCAGCAATGAAGCGTTGGATTCGTCAAGTGATGTAGAGTGTGGGACGGGAACATATTTGGTGGTGGACCGAGAATGATAATAGTTGATAAAAGCTCATAATAACGATGTAGGTAAGAACATTAGGTCGCTTCAAACCTAATAGCAGATAAGAATCACTACCCATTTCATTTTTATTTCATTTGCGTTCCATCGTCAGCACCATACTCCCTTCGACCGCTACTTTGCCTAAATTTCCTGCGAATGTGTGTAGAGGCTGTCTGAAGAAATGCGATAATGATCAATGGGCATTTCTGTCTCAACATCATTAGCATCAAATATTATTCGACCGCTAAATCACGCTGACATTCAAGGCATGGTGGTTGTTTACATACACCACTTCACTTCTGCAAGCTATCGCGCGTATCAAGCGGTGAGCTTCAGCAGAAGTGGAGAGGCTATGAAAAGATCGGCTAGGGTAAAGCAAATCAGCATTAAGACAGCGGTTAGCTTTTTTAGCGGTGGGACACAACGTGCTGTTTCGTTTCAACGAAGCCTACCGCTTCTTGTGCGCGGCAGCGTGAGGTGCTGAACTGGTATGTGTATGACTGTGGAGTTGAAATTGGAGTGGAATTCGGACCGGGTCCTGTCTCTTCAGTTTGGAGGGCGAGGAAAACAGCCTCGATAATGAGATAGTAACGCTGACATCGACTTTATTTGACGTAAAATTTCTAACCAACTGTATCAGCCTTGAGCGGTGCTAAGAAGCGATCCTCAGTAGAGAATGTGTGCCCAAGCCTAACCAGGGTAATGGAGGGATAGACGGGACGATCTTCAAAGTAGATGAACTAATAACCAAATGCGCAAAGTTGGCCTATAACCTGGATGAGTAATAGTATATGAGATATTACGCCGAATCTTATCGAAAGGTCACATCAGGTAAATTGATTGCTCATTATGAAAGCTCTTACTCAAGCTCGTAATGACACCCCAAGCAAAAGAGAAGCAGAGTACAATGGAATGTTCCTCCCATCTCCAAACCTCTATTTTCACAGATAGATACAGTATGAAAAAAATCCCTCCATAGTCTGTTAACGGCCAATTTGCCCTGTTACATTCCTTTTCGTAGCCGTAAGAACTTTTATGGCTCAAAAGACACACCTACACACTGGCAAGACGAAACACCAAGTGCTTCATACCCGAGTGATCCAAAAATGGCGCCCATAATTCACCTCTCATTGCAGGTAATGGGAGGCAAAGACGCTCTCATGGGAGAGTCGCCATGGAGTGTTCTACTGAAAGTAACTGGAACTGGCGGTACGAACAGCACTGATTATTCTGACATTGAGTTCCCCCGTAAGTATTCTCCAGGGGAACAGTAGAAATACATACTAAAAATAAAATCTTGAAAAGAAAACTACACATTTTCAAGTATTTATAAGACTAGAGCTTTCTCCGTTATTGTCCTTTAGCTGTGTGTGGAGGTACACTTGTCACACCACGCCACTTCATTACGGCTGCCCATTGTTTCTGGAGAAATGTGGGTGCTACACCATGCAGGTTGGACGGTTTTTTTTGTATTTGAAAAATGTATCCATTTATTTGTTTTCGTTTTGCAGCATGGAGGACATGTATCCGATTGATTTTGTAAGGAAGAATTCCATAGTCCAAGTTGGTGGTATTTGTTATGAACAAGACACCAAAGTGAAATGTAGCGGTAAGAAAGTCGGCACAAAAATGCGGGTCAAAAAGTAAGATTAAAGTTTTGTTAGCGGAGATTTTACATTTAAGGCAATGTTTGGGAATTCTGGACAAAATGAAGCTCTTGCATGAGAAATATGGAATGGAAAGTAACCGCTGAGCATGTACCTATGGCGCCATGCTGGACAGGGCCGAAACGCCGAGGCTCTAATGCTTGCTCCGCCCAGTGTCACTGACCCCGCCCACAAATCAGTGTTATTTCTCTTCCGCCGCCACTTGGAGAGGGGTGCTTTATTTTAGTCCTCATCGCCGGTATTTGTCGTTTTTTCATTATTGTCGTTGAACTTCACAATCTCTACTGTCACTTACAAGCGCAATAACACATCAGCTGGCTCCCGGACTTTGCCTTTAAGTTCTCAGTCCTGAATGAGGGAGCGGTTGAACTTGAAGGAGGATCTCACGATAAGGGTGGAGCCTGAGAAGGGGGAACTAGTGAAATGACAGGCTGGCACTTAAAGGCCTACCCCAAGATCACATTGGTGTGGCTCATGTGCACGAATGTGATTGTACTGGTGGGAAGTGGTGCGCGTTCCGCAGCCAAGGCCACGCCCACAGCTGCCCAATAGGGCCGTACCCGCGCCGCTGCGCTACGTCCGATCGGCTGGCCCCTCGCCGCCCCGCTCTAGCCGCTCTAGTAGAGAGAGCGTTAGTATTAAGGAGCTCAGCACCGATGAGAATTGCTCAACGCGTAAATCAGTGGGCAGCAATGGATACTAGGATCGGGTTCAAGGCTGTTTTGCTTGATTTTATCTTCGCCCATGCTCACTCTCACATCTTTAGCTTGATTTGGAATGGGGTGGCTTTTCATCGTAACCTATGCCTTTTCAACTACCCTCAGTGATAAACCAGTAGTGCGAACTGGACCGACAGCGGAGAAAAGAGGGAAGAAAACCATCAAAAACGCTGATAATAAATGTCGGTGTTTCCTTACAAGGGACTGAAGGATAGAGACAGCGCGCCAAGGAGAGAGATCAGTCGAGTGGGCATCCTGGACGAGAGGACGTAGACAACCGTGATCAAGGGGATTCGCTGTTTATTGCTATGACAGTACCCTTACGCTCTTGTTGCACAATTTTTACCCACGACGGGGGCTTTTCTACGACCATCGTATTCAGCTCTAACTTAACCATCAACGGAGGATCCAGTTGTTAAATGCGCTTCGGGAGGGAGGGGAGCGCTTTCAGATAAAGTTGACCTAAGATTGTCGTGCAAGTAAAATTAAATAAATTAATTAGTATTTATGACATCTTTCGAAGACACCCACAGCCGTCTGTAGTGTCGGTAGAAGAGTTAGAACTTGAAGATGAAGGACTAGGTGGCCAACGCTTGGACAAAAAATCAAAGAAACCATTAGAATTGTGAAACAGTGAAAAACACACTTAAACCAATAAAGGAGCAACGACTTTAGTGTGAAGAGAGAGTATGGCAACAAGCGAAACGCAGGCAATTTCTGTGGTGACACGTAGAGGCAGCGTCAAGGGCTAGGAGTGCAGCCAGGGTCAACCCTAGCGTTGGTAGTATTTCAAAAATTTTATGACCCCTTCCCTCCCCAGAGGAGTATCGTTACGATCTCACCATCACCACCAGCCCTGCGGGGTCTCCAATTCAACGTATTACCCTCACCATCATGTTTTCGTTTGTATAGTGTATTTGTTTTGTGGAAAATCGATGCCCTCTAACTCCTTCCACTGGAGGGTAAGTATTTCTAACGGAGCGACGACCCCCTTTCCAAAATTGCAACTAGACCCCTCCCTTTTGTTGGTACTTGGTACCTTACTGACTACCTGGGTAAGGCTACAGAAGCAGCCTTACGGCTTGGTGGCCCCCCTTACAAATTCGTGACACGAACGTAAACACCCACTTACTTGCGGATTACAGCGCCTTTCGGAGAGATCCCATTTCTCTGAGCGATTCGCTTTGTGTTCTAGAAATTTTAATGAAATCAGATTTAGTTAATAGTTCAATACAAGCGGAATCTCAGATCTGGCTTTTCAGCGGATTCTATGAAGGATTTTTCAAGGCAGGATGTACTGGAACGAGAGATATTGCAATTATGGAATTGGATAGGGATGTTCCTGCTGGCATTCATCACATTTGCTTGCCTCACCTTCACCATATGGATGAACTGGACGACGACTCGATGAAGCTCTTCTCAACTGGATGGGGCCTCGATCGTCCGTAATAATAATTTCTTTCCTTAACTGATTTTCGAATGTCCACGTCAATGATCTCATTATTTTCAGCACTTCGCGGTTACTTCGAGAAACCAACTCCAATCCTGCAGAAGATTGATTTGGGTATGCACTAATCTCTATCTGGAAATGACTCATTGCTTTAATTGGCTAAAAAGAGATCGCGTAGCGATTCACAGTCTCAAGGGAGAATTCCACGATAAGGCCGGAGGTTTATGAAGAAGAAGCCGTCCGACTCTAGTCGCTCAGCAGAGAGAGAGCGTAAGCGTTGGAAGGGCAACGCGGAATTCAGCAGGCAAAAAAGCGGTACCATTCCTCGGGGTTGGGGCCGTTTTTCACGGTTTTTTCTTCCCCTGCGAACTCTACCTTCATTTCTAATAGGCTGTGGCTTCATCGTAAACGTAAGGTAAGTATGAATCAGAATGCTTCCGTTATCCAAACATCAGAAGCAAGGCTTCTACACTAC